TCTCAGTTTAAGGCACCTGTTCACTTTCTTTCACAGAAGGATTCTCTGGCAAGGACAGAGGTTTTGATTCTCCCATGTGTTAATCAGCTGCGTGCTTGCAAGCTTGTCATTATTGACACTAAAGTTCCCTCACGTTGCTACTTCCCAACAGTAGGAGTAGAAAGAGGCAGTCACAAGTAGAAAAGAGGCATTGGCTATACATCTACCTGACTTATCTTCAGAGCACAGTGTAACTAACATTTTCAACCTTTTTTTTCCCAGTTCTTAACTTTTGGGTACCTAATTTGGTAATCTTTATGCCGTTTTAATACAAGGGTCTGGTTAATTTTTAAAATTAAAACCTCTTAAAGGTTCCATGATTTAAAAATTTGAACTGATAATTAATGAATTGATTTGCAGATTCCCCAAAAATGTAATTGCACCAGAGGAATAAACAGCTGTAAGATGGCTGAGGGCTAGATGCTGAGTTTTCTCATCCAAAGGTAAATGACTGAGTTGAAGCTTTAATGGCAATATAGCACTCAGCCTTAACTACACCTACTGCCTTAATTACAGCCTTACCTGCAGCTCCTGCCTTCACTGCAGCCTTGACTACCCACTGCTGCTGGAGCCTTTCGTTAGTGTCTCCCTGCCTTTCTTTTCTCTGTGATCTGCCACTGTCGCTTTCTCTACTCGGAATGCCCGTGTCCTTCTCCTGAATTGCCTTTATCTATTTTGCTACTCTTCTGGTCTTCCCCTTCATCTCAGCCCTTTGCTACCCAGCATGGGGGGAAAGCAGAGGCAGCCTTTTGCTCTAGTGGGTAACTCCTGCCTCTGAAAGCCAGCTTGGAGACAGTGATTAAGAGAGGGGAAAGAAGGACTCTAGAATCCAACAACAGCAAAAACAGCCAGATGTGTGAGGATTTCTTTGCAGCTGTACAACATCCTGTATTAAGGTAACTTCATGCCTTGAAGAATAAATATAATAATAAAATAAAATAACAGCAAAAACAGAGGAGAGGAGGCTTCTTGTTCCTCCCTTTCTGCAGAAACTCTGCAACTGTCTGTGAGGCCTAAAGGATGGCCCTCAAAGCAGCTTTTCTTCTTCCCCAGGTAGTACCATCTTAAGGCATGGGACCAAAGGGCTGAGGCATGGGACCAAAGGGCTGAGGCATGGGCACTCATCTTTACTGGGACTTGGGAACCCATCAGGCAGTGTAACACATGATTTGTCACACTGTGGAGTAGGATCACGCAGCTTTTCCTGTCCTTCTTGATCAACCAACCACTTCTCTGGCAAAGCAGTAACTGTGTGTTCCCAGATAAACCATATGTGCCCAATGGATTTGTATGTGCATAGGGCAGGTCTCTCTAACCCACGTAAAAAACCCTGTGACTCACAGGCACATCACATCTGGATTGAAGATATGGCCCTGGTTGTCTCAGATTCACTGCATCTGCACAAGATCTTGATGTGCACAGATCAAGAACTACTTTCTGGTTTCTCGGGTGAAATTCAGAAAAGATACATCAAGGATATATACATTTCTTTCTGCATGCCTGACTTAACTGTCCAGAGCTGCCCTGGATTTCACCATTGCTCTCTTATTTCCTCTGGTTTGAATCCCATGTAAATGCTGTAAGGTCCCCTAAGATCCTTAAGATTATTGTGTCCTAGAGTCACAGCTGTGAATGACCATTCAGAGAGCCCTTCCTGCCTGGGGCAGACTAGCCTTGGAAAATCCTCATCACCCTGGAAATAAACACTGCCAACATCACTGCTTTTTCTGCAGTGGTACCCGCAGGCAGCAACTGTTTCTTGATCTTGCTGAGCGATATATTTATTTGTTATCAAGGGCAGACTGGGGCTTTTGCTGCACAGAGATGTAGCAGAATGATGAGGAGGTGGCCTAGGGGAAGAGACAGGGAATGTTGCTCTTGACACATCTATATTGAATAATTAGTGATAAGAGCCAAAGAAATATTCATGACTCTGTAGAAAGATAAATAGATTTTTGATTAAATTTGAGTTTTGTCTTTACAGCAGTTTTGTCTTTACAGAAGTTGATGTGTGATTGGTAGCATGGAAATGAGGTTTTTATGGATTCTGGCTGGCTGGAGGATCCCTTTTAAAGCTGTTAGCCAAGATAATGCTGCAGATATCTAGCTAGTGTGTGCTGGCAAGAATTCAGAATGGCAATGCCAGAAACCTGTGCTCTCTGGGCAGTTGCAATGCAGCTGTCGAATGATCAAATCAATCCAACTTGTTCAAAGGATTTATTATAACATTTTCTCCACCCAGACTCTTAGACTTTTGCAGAATTTCAGTGGTGCCTTTTAAGATCTATGGCACATTCCACTGCAGTTCAGCACACCTCAGGAAGGGAAACACTTCAAGGGCATTTGCTAGTGGGACACATAAATACCTATGTACCTCTCTTGAGTTCTTCACAACACTTATATTCTTCTTTTCAAGGATGTTAGCACAGGAGGCTTTCAAGGTGGTTGCACTGCTCAGCACCCACAATTAAGAGTTCTGGAATCCTTGTTGGAGTCATAATATACAAATAAAAATTCAGGAGCACTCTGCAAATTGAGATACTAACTCTTCCAGTGCACTCCAGTGCCATTGCCACCCAAAAAGGATTGTATTGAAGGATATTGCTGAACTGTATCGGATTCCATGCAGGATTTGAGAAGTCTGGCTAAAGTTTCTAGGTCAGCCACAGGCACCACCTGTAGTAGCCATGTAATGTACTGTGTGTGTTCATGACTCACACAGAGGCAGCTGTACCTTGCAGAACCTAAAATACATGCGAGAGTAAGAAATTCAGACATGCTAAAGTGACGGGAGCTTGACAGTTACCTGAAATGTGTCTGCACTCCTTTTACCCCCCCTATATCTCCCGAACTTAATGTCACGTACAGAACATCTTAGAACTGGCCTTTCTGTCCTGAGGTGACTAAGCTGAGCAAATGTCCTTGATCTGTGTAAGTCCTGTGCTCTTTTTGCTGCCATGCATTTTTTTTTCCAAATTCTGGTTGCATTACTATGTTCCCTACAGTTCCCACACTGCCCTCCTTCAGTGTTCTGTGTAAGCAGTCCAGCACTAGTGAGAGTTGTACTTGTCAGGCCTGGGCTGCAGTCCCAGTTGTGGTGCTGCTCCTTACTTGTGCTTTGTGTGTGCCTTAGGGATGGCCTGTACCCTCTACAACACTGTTAGATTAAAAAAAAAAAAAAAAAAAGACGAAATCACTAGTCAAGCATTCTCTCAAGAATAGTTTGTCTTCTAAAAGCTTGCAAAATCATGTGTTAGTCCAATGTTGTGACTTTTCGTGGTTTAGACTTTGGGGTTTTGGAAAAAATAGGTGTAGTGCAGGTCTTGGTTTGCTGTAAAGAGGCAAATTCACAGGAAACAATATATTTTGGAAGTTTGGGAACTTGTACATAACATTAAGCAATTCAGTTTCTCACTCTGGCCTCACTTTCTCTCTTGTAGTGTGAAAGCTGCAGTGGCATTGCTGTTGCTTTAGTCAGAAGAGTAGACTCATAGTGAGGTTCTGGTCACCTTTTTCAAACAGGCCAGCTGCAGCTTTCAAAATTGTTAAGTAACCGTGTCCATGTTTCCATGGCTGTCAGTGACAGAGCCACACAGAGAACCTGGGTAGTCTGTCCTACCCACTAGACACAAGACTGTTTTTCTGGTCTTCCAATGAGCAACTCTAGCCAGCTCTCTGAGGGAGGCTCTGGCTTTCATTAGCTGTTTTGAGTCTTGAACCAAGGTTTTTGAAATGTAGTCTGAACTAAGTCACTGCTGAGCAGACAGACTGGTTAGAATACCTGTGAACAGCCCAGCTCTTAAATGGACCCAGGATTGGTGTTGTATTAAATATTGGATTAAGCTGCTGAATTCTGCTTTTCCTGAAATTTGTGAGGGATCAACTGCATTTCTCTCTCCTCATGGAAGCTTTGCTGTCAAGGTAGCTGCACTCACAAGCGTACCCTGAGTTTATTGTCATGCGCTGCCAAAAGCTGTGATACCAAATCAGGGCGTTCCGTGCCCATGGGATGATATTTTGCCACAAGATAAGTGTAGTGTGTATGGAAATTCAATTAATGGGCTGTCTCACTGGGCATTAATATAGAATCCTAGCACAAAGCTAACCTTGCTGTGCTTCTGGTTTGCTCATTACTTTGTGAGACAGGTATTGCCCAGCCATGACTGCATTTGTCACAAGAAGCACATGCACAAATGAAGACAGGCTCAGGGACTGCTGGGAGGTGTCAGTATAAACAATAGCATGATTTGCACACGGGTTTCAGACAGTTTGCATCCCTTTTACTTGTCAAGTTACTTTAATGAAGGCTATAAAATAAATAGCCATGGCTATAATCTTTAGGAATTAAAATTATTACCTGGCAAGTTGAAGTAATTAACTCTTCTCAGCCAGGAATCAAACAAGAGATATATGGGTAGAAGGATGTGAAAAGAATATATTAACTTAACCAGGTAATAGTGCTACTGTCCATCCTTTTTTGTGTTTTTAAAGAAAACAAAAAGGAATGTTGCCATCTTGTATTGGCAGCTTTTGTGACCACTGGTGTAAATGAGAATTATCTTAGCAGAAGAGATTCCAGACATGGTTTGGGGATGCATCTGTCTTTTTTCCTATAAAAGGCTTTGCAGTGTGGGCCGTCCTTTTAGTTAGATACAAGGCCAAGTTAAAGGGTGGGATTAGAGAGCTGGAATTTTACACTCACAGAATGTGCCTTGTCCCCTTCATTCCTTGCTTTGAAGAAATTTATAGCAGGGCCATAGAGTTTTAAATTATGCTGGTTCTTGACCATTTTCTGAGCTTGTTAGAATATGTTCTTGTTGAGGTCAGGAAAAATGTGCTGGTTTGCACGCTTGTATTCTGCATAAACAAATCTATCATCATTCTACTAAACAAAATGGAAATGCAGATAACCATAAATACCAGGCTGTTACATGCTCATTTGACTGTATTTTGTCTTTCAGATCACCACATTATGCTTGTCCTGAAGTCATCCGGGTAAGTTGGTTAATATTAGTGTACATAAATACATTTTTTGAAGTGTCCCTTATTGCAAGTACACAGATCAATCCTCTGTACAAGGAATCTGCCCAATGCAGAGCGAAAGAAAAGGACCTAAATAGAGTTCTGTTTGTTTGGCTCAGCCCTGAATCAAGCCACATTGGGAAATAATTGTATGTTATTCTCACAGTACCTTTGCACCATGTGATCAGACGGAAGTACGGGAGCCTGACTTAATTTGATCTTTTGGCCCAAGGGACATAGTCCCCTCAGCTTTCCTGTCTCTGATGTAGCTGTCATCATCAGTAGAAAAGCTGGGGTTGACTGTCAGTGATGTTGGTTTCCACTAAACCATATTCTTCCCCCCTGCTTTCCCTTTGTCCTCTGAAAATAAGTATCCAAGATTTCAGTGCCCAGGATTGTCCTCTTCCAAAGCACGTCTCTACTTGTAAAGTCAAGCAGGAAGCACACAGGAGAGACTGTCCAGACAACACTATGGGTTTGCAAATCATGTGACTGGTGATAAGCTCCCTGAAGAACCAGGGCAGAGAAACACACCTTCTTGATGTCCTTAATGCACCTGCTACTCTGTTTAAATGCCAGGTCTGATAATTTGTGAACTGTCAACCATTCCTGCCCTGCTCCCACTTCTGAACCTTTCCTCACAGATCCCAGATAAGATTGCAAACTGATGTTCACAAAAATTCATTTAGCCAGCTGTGTAGTGGCTTCCTCCTAGTTGGGAAGGCCAACTTGGGAAGCAGGTAGCTGAACTGAAATGTGGGGTTTCCCATTCTCCCCTCTCTCATTCCTCAAGGATAATTAATTCATTTACTAGTGATCAGTCTTTTGAACCTGTGTGTCATTGCTGCGCAGGGAGAAAAATATGATGGAAGGAAAGCAGACGTCTGGAGCTGCGGAGTCATTTTGTTTGCGTTGCTAGTGGTGAGTCATCTTCCTTGCACTAGCCTTTAAAAGAAAAGAAAAATCTGAAAGTGCTGCTGTATTTAATGGCAATTCTATTGACATCATGTACAGATGGTTTTTTTTAGTCCTCTATTTTTGTATCTCCCAGTGGCATCCTTTGCTCTTATTTCTACATCAGCCCCAAAGGAAAAGCATGAGGAATATTTCACTGCTTCTTTGAAACACTGTTGCCCTGCACAGGAGAGCATAGGCAGCCATCAAAAACTTGTCTCTGTAAATGCTCTTTGTTGTGTTGTGATGTTGCACCACGTTTTTTGATGGATAGGGATGTGTAAGGTTACAACTCCAGGATACAGAGAGTGTCAAACAAGTTGTCCTTCACAGGATCAAGATATGGCTGGGTTTGGGGTGCATTCAGTTTTTTCTGCTGTATGTGTATGTGTGCGTCAGCAGGTATGTGCATACATTAACTGCAGTGTTTTTTCAAGGAAAGACTTGAGAACCTCATCTTTGTTTCATGCAAGCAGTGAGCTACATTTTAATTTGGTACACTTGGGAATATAAAACTGAGCCAGTAGTACAAAGTTTAAATTAGTTTCCATCTGGCTCAGTAATACTTGAAGTGTTCAAAATGTGGTGTCTTCTAACTTATCCTTCTTTTGATCAGAGTTTCAATTCTCTGTGGAATTTATTCTAAAATGAAGTTCTATTATAACACTTCTAAACATCCAACAAATGGGTGTCCAGCTGAAGGCAGATAGGTTTGGCATTTGTTATCAATTTCCATAGTATAATGTAGGAAAATATAGTTCATGTTAATACAAGCATGTACTACATGGAGGTAAAATACTCTATATGAATATAGGTTTTATGTGCATGTTAAGTGCTTTATATCTGTAATAGTTCATCTGATCATCTATAATTATAAAAGTAACAAGCCTGAAGTAAAATTTTTATGTTTTTGTACATTTATCAGTAAACACAATTGCTTCACTTAAATGTTTTATAGGAAAAAGAACTTGTACAGTGTGAAATGAGATAAATTCTGGATATTATTTTTGTTTCAATGCTTCTAAATTTTAGAGGTGTTTTGTCTCAAGGGATATGCTGATTCTTTTTTAATGGCTCAAATCAGAATACCCTAAAGTAATCTCAGTATGATGCTTTAATTCCCCTTAACCAATCTTACTCCTTTTTTCTTCTTAGTCATTACAATTCACTGACATTTTTGCAATTTTAATTTTTTTTATCTCGATGTTGCATTGGAAGAATTTTAACTGTCACACTAGATAGCACCTGGTCATCTCTTACTGAGCAGTTACTTTCGTAGCTGATAAAATAGAAGTGTATAATGAGCTCTTAATATAACTTCTTGAATTTGTAAGAACAGAAGAGAGAATGTGTCAAGATGGTTAGTATTTGTCGAGCAGGCTTTTCATTTTCAGGGGGATTCTCTGTCAAGCTTGGGTGTCTGTTGCTGCATCTTCATTTGTTCCTACAAACACACATGAGCCTGAAAAATTATTGAAATAAGTCTATTATTGATGGAAAGTGCAGAGCTCGCCAGTTAATTATGTCAGGACAAGCCCTGCAAAAACTATCAACATATGATAGCAGATGGTAGTAATAAAAGAGATATAGTTGTTACCTTCAGGAAGTGCCACACAGCATCCTTTCTGACTTCATCAGGGCTTAAATTGCATTAGCCAAAGTACTGAACTATCAGAATTGATTTTCCTTTAAGTCTGGAATGGACAGGACAAACGCAGGTAACTCTGGAGGTTGGTTACAGACGGCAGGGAGAGGCTCTGCCTTCAAGGCCACTTGAATGAGCAAACACCAGTCAGCAGTGCCCAGTCGTGGCTGCCATCAGGTGGCTTCCTGAGGCTGCTGTAAATGGAGCTGTTGTTCTGCCTAAACCATAGACACAGGATTGCTTATACAGATGCACTACTCACTGTAGTAAGAGCAGTGCCAGAGCTGACAACTTAAAACTTCATTATCACAGCAGCTGACAGCTTGCAGCTCCCACAAACCATCCTGGAAATCAAGGAAGCTCGGCACCTACTAGAATTAGGCAGTGAAAGAAGGAAGTGAGAATATCTAGGAAGGTGCAGACTTGCTATAAAAGGGTATCAGCTTCAGTCAGTAGAGTTATCCTAAAGATTTCAACTTCTCTTTTTCCTTTTTGTCCTTGCAGCAAGGATAGGTCTTTTACTGCTTTTTATGGCAAGCTGATGATCTATTCAAAATGTAGTTTCAGCTAAAAAAACTTCAAGCCATTCATGTAAGTGAGCTACAGTAGGGAAGCAATAGGAACTGATGACCTGACCACAGCATGGGAACTGGATGGAGTATATTAAACAGGTAGAATGTCTGCTGCTTCCAAAGGCTAATGTTGGTTGGGGTTTCTTTCAGCTGTGTCATTTTAATGCTCCATCAGAAAGAGCATTCTTTGCTGAAAGTCTCTCAAAAGCTGTTCACCTCCTTTTCAACGTCTGCAATAAATGTGTCTCAGGAAGATTAAAAATAAGGAGACGATAAACATTGCTGCTGTGAAAGTATGCCCAGGAGGAATACCAGCAGATCAAAAGCTTGAGCTGAATTTAAGTGAATCCACGCATCTTTGTGAATTTGCCTAGAAAGGCAATTTCGTATTTTGTATTTTACTTTATACTGGTAGGTCTAATTAAAGGTCTAATAACAAAAACAATGTCCTCAGTTTTGTCTCATGTTAGAGGAAATACAGCAGCACTAAGAAATTGTGTCTTTTCAATGGATAAGAAGTTTTTTCACTCATAATAATATATTATGAGCTGACTTCCTCTTTTCCATTCTCTCACATTGTTTATCCTGGCTTTTCTCCTTTGGCCGTCTCCAGTTCTCTCCCATTGACTGCTCTGTCCCATGCCTGCAGGGTGCCCTGCCTTTCGATGATGACAACTTGCGGCAACTGCTGGAGAAGGTGAAGCGTGGAGTGTTCCACATGCCCCATTTTATCCCCCCTGACTGTCAGAACCTTTTGCGGGGGATGATTGAAGTGGATGCCTCGAAACGTCTCACGGTAAGGAGGCTTCATAAGCAAGGCTTCATTTCTTGCCTTGTTGCAGGAATGGTTGAGCAGCTAAGGTAGCTTGGTGATTTGGTGGCATTCCTACGTGTTTCCTTCTGAGCAAAGGAGTGGAATTGGTAATTACCGTCTCTTTTGAGTCTTGAGGACAGATTGCTTTTGTGTTTCTTCTGTAGCCTCATGATTCTCTTTCGTATGTAACACTGGGCATTTAGGAGAAATCAGTCATAGCCCATCAAAGAACTACTGGCCCATTCACACCTTTTGGAGTCCACCTGAGTTGTCTGATTCTTCTGTGTGATACAGCAGTTTGCTGGGGGCATCATGTAAGTATTTGAAGGTCACAGGTGTTAGGGCTGGTATTTGAAGCTTTGCCATTAAACAGAGTGTGATTTTCCTACATTTCTGACAGAAGTGTTGGCTTTTCACTTCACACAACATAAGCTGCATTGTATTCTATCCAGCATTTGTTCTGCATTATCCTCTAGCAGCCTTCAGAGCAAGTGTCTGCCAGTCTGCTCTTTCATCCTGTGCCCTGTGGTCCTGAGCACTGTTAGTCCCACAGTGTTGAGCTCCTGGCATTCAGCACTGACTCTGCATCTAGGATACATCCCATCACTACAACAGAGACCCTGCAAGAGTGAGGACTGTGTAGTGATTGTATCATACCTTCACTAACGTTGTGTTAATGTTTTAGGGAATTAAAAAACATTGGCAATTGAAATAATTTTGGAAAGTAAGATTGCCTGCTTGTCAGTGGAGGCATGTGCCTTTATGGGTACATTGCCCCTGTAAATCCTATTGTCAGGCCTTGGTGATGATTTTATACAGATTTACTAAGCTCACAGATTCTGAGTGGGAGTATGTATAAAGAAATGTAAATTTAAAACTCCTCCTGGTTCTTCAGTCTGCTAAAATATTTATAAATAAACTCTCAGATCACTGGTTGGCCTCACTGCTGAGATTGGTAACAACAGCATCAGTGTGTGCCAGCTGTGACGGTGCTTTTGGGATGCAGACACCTCTCAGCTAAGAAGTTAACTGAAACTCCTTTCACCACTCCCTACAATATTACCTGACAGCTGGGTTTTTGTTTTATTCATTACCAGTCCAGGTCATGCTTTATTTGGTAGCATAAGGGCAAACTCGTGTTATTTTTAGTATCCCTACTTTTGCAAACCCAGTAGCCATCATATTTTGCAGTACATAAATAGCACTGATTGCAAAAAAAAAAAAATAGGCGCCTTAAAAGACCTTTTTAAAACAGATTTTTAAGGAAAGGAGTAACATTTTCACAAGTATATTCACAGAAAGAACACTGCAGAGGTTAGGGCAATATCCTGAGAGATGAGACAGATGTTCTTCATGGCCAAGAAAGTCACAAAGTCCCTCTCAAGCTTAGCTTCCTTTCCATGATGTAAATATACTTGGGTTTTTTGGGTTTTTTCCTCAAAAAAGTGCCGATGGTCTAAGTTTGTTAGGGAGCAGATCATCAAGTGCTAGCTCCTTCTTCAGATTGTTCTGAATTTTTCCACAGGGCAGAGACAGACCCTAAATAATTTGAGCTGTGCAATACAGCTGGGAATGTACATGCATAGGAGAGAAAGCAGTTGAGGTAATTCAAGGTCTCAGAGTGACACTCATCCCCCTCTCTTTCTTGATCAAAATTAACCTCTTACTTCCTTAGGGAGGGAAAAAACCCAGATCAGGTAGTTATTGGCACACACTAACCATTGAATTATGAATAAGAATTTGAAATAATGCATACTAAAGAGCTGAGAGCTGGGAGGAAAAAAGGTTGGCTCTTTGTTATTAGCTGCAGTCTTTTTTTCATTATTTGAGGGTCTCTGGGTTTGCTGTCCCTGCTGCTGTCACACTCCTGTGCTGTTAGTGAGCTGCTTGCTTTGACTGCCAGGCAGAAGGGAGCTCTTTGTTTACTGCACAGGAGCTGGGAATATAGAGTTCATTCTGAGGAGAGAGCTGAATTCTGTTTTAGCTGTGTCCTGTGAAAAAGGGTATAAACATGGGTTTATTTGGAAGCCTCTATTCCTAGAAAATATCTCACTTGAATCAATTTGCTATTTATACAAAGATGTGAGCAAAATTGCAGCTTGGGTACAGTAAGTACAGATGTAGCTGTTATCATTGCTGATCATTTGCTCAATACCTCACTAGTGAATTCAGAGAAAAATACAGCGAAATATAAGGTGACTAAATTTTTTTTTCATTTCTTACTTCCCCTCTCTGCTTTTTTCCTCTTTTTTTGATTTGTATCTCTTTTCCTTTTCATCCAACTGCATTTCCCTCCCTGCAGTAATTGCCATTTCACAGCACACCCACACCTTCCCCAGTCCATCTGTTAAAATGATCAACAAAAACAGAAGCAGCATTCACGTTTAACTGTCATCATTTGCTTCAGTGTTGGAGCTTGAGAAGATTAATGGAGGGGAGGGTACTCAGAATTATTGTTGCTGGCCCTTTCCAGCCTTAAGAAGCAGGCATTATCTTTCTTGGTATATGATTCATTTGTGGGAACAAGACTTTATTATTTCTTAGTGGAATATTGTTCACACCCACCATGTGTTACGTAGCCTCAAATACGGTTAATGGGACATCCTTGACCACTGTCATTTATTGGGCCTGTTATACTAAACATTCTGTAAAATAAAAGAATTTGTGTTTTTCTTTCATTAAACATAAATTTTTCATTAAAAGTTGATCCTAGCTCCTGGTGGTGGTATTTCTGACTACCAATATTTATGAAAGATGAAGTCAAACAAAGAATGAGTACTAAGGTGATCAGCATTTGAAAGAGTCTGTCTGAATAAGTATGGCCTAAAAGAGCTTCAGTTAATGTACACAGATAGTGTCTAACAAAGGTTGTACTGGTTATCTGCATATTCATTAGAGGTAATTACTAGGGAGAGAAGCATTACTTAAGCTAAGGGAGATACTGGCACAAAAACAAATGTATGTCTAATGGTCTTAGAGGAAAGTGGGCTAGAAACAAGAAGAATTTTAGGCATATCAATGGGGTTCTGGGACTGCCTTCTAGTAGGAATAGTGTCAGGAGGGAAAAGTGAATTGTAATAAAGTTTGAGAAGGCTTATGGGAGGTGTGCTCTGAGTGCCTGAAGTCCTGCAGGATGTGGTTTCTTTTAGTTATGTGCTCTTGAAATGATTCAGCGTTGCTGCAGCAGAGAATTACAGCTCCTGTAGTAGAAACCTGTTGCATTCTCAGCCAATATTTTCTTCTCCAGAAAGACAAAGGGCAGAGGCACTTTTCTTTTAAAGATGGATTTAGCACTATTGAAAGTTTGTTTCTGGAGCAAGGTGGATCAGAGCAGATATTGCAGAATACGCTATTCCAGTAAAGTGTTACTGTTCTAGCATTGACATCTTATACTAGAGTAGAATGACTTGTTTTCTATGTTGGGTGTACACACAGGTGGAAATACCTATCCCTGAATATTACCTAAAAATTCCTTGAATTGCACATATTTTCAGAATCTCCTATCGGCTTTCTGATTTTGTTTTTTCTTGATCTGATGCTAATGATGCTATGCAGAATCTAAAGAATATTAAGAAATGAAGAAGGGAAAACTCACCTGATTAATTTCTGTAGAAGGTCTTATGATAAGATGCCTATTCAATAATTTAAATTTTCTTTACAACCTGTAGAATGGAGGTAATTGTCCAGTTGATGTATTTAGGCTGCCAAGGGCCTGTTCATGCCCCATGCACATAGGACAGTGATACTTGCCCTTGTCAAAGTCCATGGAGGCTGCTTTAGAACAGCTGCTACTGCTGAAACGGGTAATAGTTTAGCCAGTGCTGTTTGCACTGCCAGCCTGAACCCTGTGGCCAAGAAAAGCCTGTGTCTTGACATTACACAGTAGGTTTATAGCTCAGACAGGGGATTTTCTGGATGGAGAAGATTCATTTGAGGTGTGGGTGCACAGACTGGTTTGAGGCTGGCCCCTTTCCGGACAGGGTGGCTTGAAATTTGACATGAGTTCAAGACCAGAAGGCCTCATCTATATCCACAGACTTTGAGAAAGTTATTCTTCAGGGCAGAACTTTTTATCTTGGCAACTGCTCTGCTGAGATCAGTGCCGAGGATGTAGACAGCGCTGTCTTGTTTTCCATCTGCCTGTCTGTCTCCATCTGTTGTTCCCTGCCTTAGAATTCAGACGTAAGCTCTTTGTGGGAGGAGACCTCTTTTCCTGATGAGCTTGTGCAGCTCTGTATCACAGTGGGTCTCTCATCTGTGAGAGAGGCTCCTCAATGCTTCTTCAGTGTACAAGTTTAGTATTTGGAAGTATTTTTATGTAAAGCCATGATAAAGGAATTCTCCCTCTTCTTCCATTACAGCATCTTAGCCTGCAGAAATCTCTCTGACTGTGCATGTGCAGTGGATCTGAGCATGTTTTGTTATTTCAGAGATGATGTCATGAGACAGTTGCCTGCAGTGACTAGGAGACATTAGGAAGCAGCATTTTTACAACTTCCATAAAATGGTATTAAACTTGGCAAACTCATGTGCAAGCAGCAAGAAAAACCCTCTGGGAAGGGTTGTTAAATGCCTTCGTCACTTAAATGCATTTAAACATTGTGTTTAAATGAAGGCAGGAGTGAGATTAGCTCCCACTGTGTGTCTCCCTCCCCTGCACTGCACAGTAGAAAGCGTACAGACTTCTCCTTGTCAAAACCAATCGCCCTCCCATAACCCTCCTGTCACTTTAATGCAGACAAAAAGCAACAAAGCATTAATTAATTACCTTTAAAACAGTAGTGAAGATGTTGGCAGCAGCAAGCACACTTCTAATAACATTTCAATGCAATTATGTTTGAATCAGCGTAGGAAATGGGTTTGTAGAATACTTTTCATATCTGGAATATCCCAGCGTATTTCACAGCAGTGGTTTTGATGTGGATTGAATGGCAGATGTGTGGGTAAACAGCAGCCGTAAGATCTGTCATGCACCTTCAGATGTGTATCAAGGTGCAGTGGGGCGTCTCTTTCAGAAAAATGCTGTGTGTTCATTAGTTTGAAGGAGGTTGATCAGCAGGGATGGGCAGGAGTCATTTGACATCTTCTCTGAAGGAGCCCAGAGGCTCTGTGACTAAGACATGGACTGGTGACCCTCTTCTCTTTCCCCTCTCTAACTCAGAAATTGAAGTGCTGTTGTCTGCTTTGCCATGGCATTTCTGCATATCACAGGCACACAAGAGCACAGTGTCCCATGGAGACAAAAAATGCAGCAGGAGAAGCAAGCATGAAAGAGACTTGGACATTGCATAGCTGTATCATCTGCATCTTGTCTGAAATCATTAATCTCTCTAACCCTCCATGTGGTGTATGGGAAATAATGAATAGATGTGGTTTTACCAGCACAGGAGGCACAGTCCACCCCTTAGCAGATCCTCACAGAACTATGCATCTGTTAGGGAACAATTCTAAAATCCTGCCCCATGGAAGCTGTACAAAATAGGCTCTCCTTATGTTCTGTGATTGTACCTCAGCTTGCACAGAACCAGAAGGAAGAGGGCTGTGTCTCCAGGCTGTTGGGGGAACTCCCAAATCATATCTTTATCTCAACGGGAGATGGCAGTGTGTCAGGAATACTCCATCTTGCTCTTAAGAGTCCAGGGGTTAGAGGACTGCTTAATGCAGGGGAATTGTGATGAAGGGGAGTTACTGTGGCAGGCTGGTGCCACGGCTGGAAGCTGTGCCAGTCTGCCTGGGCCGGTGGATGTGTGTGCTGGGGGCATTGGTGCTGCTTAGAAGACAGATATGTGAGTGCCAGCTGCACCTCTGGTTGCAGTGTTGATGCAGCCTGGGGTTTAAAGGAGGCTGTTTGTTTCCCACACTGTTCCCTCCAGGCTCCTGTCGTACTTTCCTAAGCTGCATTCCTTTGTTTCTTTGTTTTCAGGAAAAGCCCTGACTCAATTTTAAGAAATGGTCTTATATATAGCCAAACTTATGTCTTAGTGTTTCCCAGACACTGAGCTGTTGTTCCATAGCACAGAGGTCTCTGATTCCTTGCTGTGGCAAACACGTTTTATCTCTGAGATTTTGTTGTTTGCCTGTTCCTTATTTTTTTCTTTTCTTTTTGTTTCTTTTTCTCTCTAATTCTAATTATTGTGGAAGTGGAATGTAATAAGAGCAGAGCAGCTGTCGACATTATTCCTGACCATTGTAATGGGTCTGTGATTTCCTCTCATACGAGTTTTCTTCCAGCTCTCTCCTTTCTTTCCCCTGAAAGTTGCACAAATGTGAGCCCATATGCAGTGAGTGTGCATTTTGTTCTGCACCTACAAAGGAGCTGTGTAATGCTGAACATAAAAAACATTGTTCACATAACAAATAATCCCTGGATATCTAAGAAAAGTTACTTTATGCTGTGATGATTAAAACAAAACGTATTTGGAATGTTCTGCTGAAAGTATGTCATATGAATCTTCTGTTCTCTCTGCTGTTAAGGGTTTCTCTTGGAAAAACCGTGTTGCCTTCTTTTCCTGCGCTTGTGGGAAAAGATATCATCGTAGTGTTTGTGGAATCTGCCTTCCATAGGTGGTCATGGCTACCTTCAGCTTTAATAAGTCCTTCATTGCATAGTGAAATTCTCATGTGTGGAACAGGAAAGAGGGAAGTAAAACAAATTTGTGGTCTCATGTTCAGGTGCAGAATTAGTAAATTGCATAGAACCTTATTCTGCTTGGTCCTTAGATTTTGATGCTAAATGTGAAGCCAATCTAGAATGCATCCTGTATCCAGGAAGGTCACGCCACAGATGCACAAATTATTTTGTTTATTATCTGTTTGAACCTATTTTCTTCTTTCTTCCTCTCTCTTTTCCTCCAAAACAAAACTAGAAGTGCAATTTAAGTACAAAGGATAAATTATTATGCTCATACAAAAAGGAGCAGTTAGATTACAAGAGGGAAGGACTTGGGAAGGGAAAAGCTTGAATTTCCAAAAGTTACCTGTGAAGCCTCGCACTTAGCATTTGCCTGGGATTTGCTCCTGATTGATGCATTATGTCTGGAATTAAAGTGCCATTTCCAGTGGGATGGGTGTTTATTCCAGTAGGATGAGTGGCTCTTTATGCAGCATAAAGTTCCTGTTGTATGCATATGTCCATCTCTGAAATTTTGGATTTATCTGAATAAGCCTTGAGTAAGGATGACTTGTAGAGTTACCTTTTCTATTTTACAGCACTAATTCCTTGTTTTCTTTTCCTTTACAGCTAGAACATATTCAGAAACACATATGGTATATGTAAGTAACTTTTAAAAACATTTTTTACATACATTCATTGTTGATTCTGGTATTCTAGTGTTCTGTGAAGAGAACACTAGAAGAGTGAGACTGGAGTTTGAAAACACATTTCACATACATGAGAAAAAGAGGCAGAGAACAGAAAAACATCTACTTTTTTTTATTTTTCTACCCTTTGCTACTAATATAATTGCATTTATATGTACCAACCCAGGAACTTTTTTTGTACAATGGCTAACAACTGTTTGAAATAAGACATTCAGTCCACCAACTTGCTGTGTTAAAGAGATACCTGCAGGTGATCAGCAAAAAAATACCCACCTAGCAACCATATTTAGTTTGCTATCCAAGTGCTACAGACAATCCCTTGTAATACCTTCTTGACAAGAAAGCTTTCATTTGTTCCTTCTTGGCATCTTGGCTTTTCTCTGAAGTAGAAACAAAAATGATGATATTGATAAGTAAGCACCTGTGAGCAAGAGCTTCTCTGTCTCATAATCCCCACTCCTTTTTCATAGCAAGCTAAGAGACTGTTTCTGACCTTGTAACCTGTTGATGTGAGAGTACTTCTGTGACTTGATTAAAAACAGCAGTCCTGACAGTGAAACAGGAGGTCTGTGAGAAGAGTACATGCTTGTATGGTGGTTTGGGTGTAAGGAAGATTGATGGCTTTTAAAAGTGACCTTGCTCTTTGTGTAGCCTTAGTAATATTTCAAGAAGCCTAAGTAAATAAACTTTTTATACTATGATATTCTAATCAAATTAAGGAGAATACTCCACATAATAAACAAGGAAATTGTGCTTGGATACATTTCCCAGGTGGGTGATAAGGAAAGTCCTGCCTTCATAATCCTGTCATTACTCTTGAGAAGTACTCGAGGATGATGTGAACTGATATATAAGCCTGTCACCATGAAAAAAACCACTTTTTCTTTATTTGTTTTGTTTTCTGTAATTCTGTCTCATGGGCCATGTTCACCTGTGGATTTGTATGACTTCATTAAAACCTGAGGGGGTTCAACATTTTGTTGAATAGCTAAGAAAAGAATTGGAACTAAGAAAAAACTTCGTTTACCTGAAATAGTGCAGCACTCTGCCCATGTCTTTTCCATGCTCTCTTCAGTTACCAGACATGGCACCTTTTTAAACCAAAGAGGTACTGGAGGTTTCCTACACATACTTTTTTTTCCCCCTTAACTCTCATGTGTAAATGTAGAACAAATGGAGTGGGGAAATATCTAATTGTAATCTCTGAAATCCCTACTATAAGGTCTTGCTAGCAATTGCAGAAGTAAATGCTGTTTACATCAGATTGGACGATAATTCCCCTCTGTTTCTTCATGGAGTGAAATCAGCTGACACTCTCCAGGCTTTTATCAGAACTGAAATAGGAAATAAAAGGAAAAGTAATTGATCATTTATATTGTTATTTTTATCCTCCTCAAGATTTTGCCTGGATCTTTTCACTTTTTGAGGGAGTGTTGTCCCAGGCTCACATACACAATTGTGCAGATGTCATTTCATTACTTTAGTCTATATTTAGAATTTGAAGATTTTTTTCTTTGGAGACATAAACATTTGAACACTTTCATGTAGCTCTCAATGAAGGTCAGGCTCTCTGATGATTGACACAGTAGACTGCATCTGAGGCTGTTTTCAGAAGTAGAAACTGAGTTTTGCAAAAGCAAGTCTCCTTTGGACTCCCAGGATAGTGCAGAAAGGCTCTTCCAGATGTCTCTTCAGATTGCCTAAAAAGAAGTTTCTGCTCAAAATAGCTTTTTTAATGAGTCTCTTTCTCATTTTCTCTGTACTGGCCATGGATTGACCTCAGGAGGTTAACACCCTATGGCTAATTTTAGTCAGTTAATAACCTTGCTGCCTCCAAAACTCAACTGCTTTCATCTGGTAATGTTTCACAACCTCTTTGCATTTATTTTGCCTGGAAATACTTATGCTGACAGAGAGGAAGGGGTTGTAGTGTTTTATCCTATGGCTCTTTTGCTCACCTCTTAATTTTGTTTTCTTTATTTTATCTACAATTCTATGTAAAATTTTCATCCTTTGTCATCTATAGGTTACTGACCTGAAAGTTGTACTCTGAACATTGAAGCGGTTTCACTTAATTCTTCAAATAAATATTGAGGCTACTATAAAACTGGAGAAGAGATTTATTTGCAGATTTAGGCAGGCAGAGAAAGAGGTCTTGAAAGTTGAAATCATGATTCACAAGCCTAAAAAAGGAAGAAAGAAACCTAAGTGAAACCTTTTGTCAGCAACCTCCACTTCTTGCTCTCCCACCCAAATTAATTCAGTGAGGTTTCTCAAGTCTTTTTAATTGAAATAATTTATTTTTACCTCAATTGCAGGTTATCATAAACCAGAAAATAAACAGCAGTTATTTTCACATTTTTTAATAAAGTTAGAGGGCAAATGAAATTACCTATTATGGTAAATACCCACTCCTATAAGACTGAGTTATTGCCTTAATTGTGAAGGTACCAACTTAATAAAACAAGAAAAAGAATAAATGTACTGGTTCTGCTTTGCTTTGCACTGATGCAAATGGGCATCTCGGTTGGATTCCTGAGAGAATTTCATGGAGAGACTGAAAAAGTCCACCCTGATCAGGAATCACAGCCATTGTATCCACCAATCCTCACAAAAGAGGGTGGGTTTTAAAGCAGCAATTACATTCATGTGGGTCTTTAAAAAAATATATGTGATTTGCAGTAGTCACTGTGTGACATTGTTTGATGTCTGTGTGGGCTGCAATGCAACAAATTTGTCACTCTGCTAGACTGAGAATGGAACAGGCATTGCAGTCATGCCAATCACAGCCCAGACCGGTGATTTTCGTTTCCTGAAGCTCTGAATTGCACTGCCAAATGACAAGACACCTCTTTGCAGATTTTACTTGTACCTGATTAGGAGGTGTGAAAATTCCTGACGGTGTATGAGGCTGACCAGGTGCAGGGCATAAGGAAATGCCACCCTGGAGTGCAAGGAGGATGGCAAGCTGTGCTCCCTAGAAATGGCTCCTGTGCTGATTGATACTAAAGGAAATTGTAGATTCTATTCAGACAAGGGCAGCTAGTGGGAAACCCAGGTTTCCTGGAAATTTTCAAAGACAATAATTCTTTTTAATCTCTTTTAATTACCTTAAGGACATCTGCTTGTAACACGAATGATTAATTAAGTCAGTACTTTTCAGAAATGAACTGTAGATCATTAAAAAGCAAAAACACTCAGCTGCTGTTCAAAGGTCTATCCTGCAAGAATTTGTCTTAATGACAAGGTCATCACTAGATGTAATAGTGCAAGGTTATGAACTAATCATTGCTTATTACCTTCTGAGAGCTAGATCTTGATTCTAAGAGGTAGCAGTAGTGACCTCTTAGAAGGAATAAGATGTTTCTTTAGTTGAACAAGGATTTTTGAGTTTAGCTCTTAGATTCAGGACCATGGTGGCATTGCAGAAGATACAGATGCTTCTGTGAGACTCAAAGGGGCCATCAGAAGCTGTGTTTTAGTGGTTTGACACACAAGAACAAATCCCAAGGATCAGATTTTATGTCCTCTGTTTACTTACACTGCTCTAAATTGAGTAAAACCGAACAGGGTGTGTATTAGTGCTCCTTGTAAGAGAAGTGGGATCTGACGCATGTTGTCATGACCCATGTAATGAACACTGACTCCATGAATGTCTAACTCCATGACATCCAGGTAGGACTGAGCACATTTTCACTGCTTCAGAAGAAGATAAAATGAACATTTGTGAGGAGTCTTTTTGCAAGTGATGTCCCACAAACAGAGCAGATACCTCACAACTGCGTTTCAACTTGCTTAAAAATAAATTGCAAGTAGCACTCAGCAATCTCCTGTGATTGTCCCAGCATGTGACTGTCCTGTTCTGGATGCATTGACTTAGTATTGCCTTCTTACCTTGGAGGAGATAATCTGCATTGGTTCTTTTTGGGGTGTATGGTCTCTCTTTGGTACACTGGCTGAGACCTTGGGCTCTGTATATCAACCTACCAGAGCTGATTTCTAAGTTACACAAGAAAAACTAAGGACATTTGGATTGGAACTCCTTTTTCTGTGTAGATACTTGGATAGCTTACATTGAGTCAGGAACATTTTAAACTGTGAGAGTAACTTCATAAGTTGTGGCTGCCTTATTTCTTCCAGCATCAAAAGGAAGGATCTCTAGTCCAAACACAGCCCCATCAAAAGGAAGGATCTCTAGTCCAAACACAGCCCCATAAACAGCAAATGGTGACATCTGATGCAGTTGAAATATTCCTGATTCCTGTTGCCCATGCTGGGAGCCTGGACCCAACAGTCACACATTTGCACCACATAAAGGAAAGGGAGGACCTCACTGATGGAGCAGGGAAACGTCAACATCGCATGAAGCAGCCACTGAGAAATAGCAGAGGTTCAGAGTAGATAATTTCTCTGACCAAAACATCAACACCACCACCAAACCCACCTCTTTGAGTGGATGGAGTTTACATTAATTGCTCACTGCCTTCCAAAATAAAATCAAAGGATATTCAGGATGTCTGCAATACATGTCATTAGTCAGTTAGATATACCCTGACACCTTGACCTGTTTCTTGCAGTCATGGCCTTTAATTGCAATGAATAATCACTATTTCCTGAGCCTAGTGAATGGGATGAGATAATTGTGCAGAAAGCCTGTGTTAACTACATTTGAAAGGGTAATATGTTCTGCTGCTAATGGTGTGTTCTGAGGTCTGCCACTGACCTCGGGCATTGCACTTGAGCCAAAATTTTCGAATTTGCATGTCTTAAGAGAAGCAGAGATTGTCATGTTTGGGTGTGTAATTAAAGAGCATGGTTTTCCCCCAAAGTGTGGGGAACTTTAAAGTGTGTCGAGTGAGAGCCTGAGCACTGAGGTCTCTTAATCACATTGGAAGTGTTAACGAAAGAAACTGCTGCAGTGCCGGTTGTAATCAGAAGTGATGAAAAAGAGTGATGGTTTGTTCAGAGCTTCTTCTTTGAAAGGAAATCATTCAGCTTGCACTTTTCAGCCTCATTGTCTGAGGTCTGGCCAGCTGATGAGACAACATCTCTAAAAACATGTAGTGTTTTATAAATGTTTGGCATTAGGATGCTGAACAGCTGCTTCTATTACGAGGGCACTGGTAAGTGAAGTTCCTATTGCCTTGCTGACTGAACACAGACATTTCTCATTAAAGACCCAAATCCACAACCTGCTGGTCAGTCTTAGCCTTCATGACAGTTTCTTATGAGCATAATATCTGTCTGGTTGGAAGCTCTGGTCTCTCAGTGGGAATTTAGCAAGCTGTTTCCATCTGTTGCTGCAGGCTGTGTTTCAGAGTATGGGTTCATTTGTGACTCATGTTTCTTTTCTCTCCTTTCCCTCCCCCTTTCTCTCTCTCATCTTCTTTCCTCTGCAGAGGGGGTAAGAATGAGCCAGAACCAGAGCAACCAATCCCTCGAAAGGTGCAGATTCGTTCTCTGCCTTCCTTGGAGGATATTGATCCAGACGTGTTAGATAGCATGCACTCATTAGGCTGCTTCCGTGACCGAAATAAACTCTTACAGGACTTGTTGTCAGAAGAGTAAGCACTTGCTCAGTCTTCATATCAGTTGGGTGTCCAGGGGCTGGGGTGCTTATGAACCTGGGGAAAGCTAGAGAGCACTTTAACTGATGTCTCTCTCTCTGAATGACTGGTAAGAACTTCTCCCCCTCTGGCTGCTCATTTGCTGGTGGGGTGTTGGGGGCAAGCACTGAGCCTTTCTTGCTCCACGGGTCAGAAGCTCACAGCCTGACCAGCAATGGAGCCACTGTGCTATTTCTGCCATAGCTGCCTGGCCAGGTCATTTCATTAAAACATGGGCTGCACAGTCTGCATGGGGAGGTATCATTGCTGATGTTTGTGTTGGATCTGCCTTTGTTGCCAAATTTTTATTTATTTCAAACTTATGCCTAAGAGCTGGTGTATCTCCTGAGGTGTTAAGAGGGACAGGTGGTAGAAAGAGCACTTAGAGGCTCAGGAGGCCTGTGTGGCTGCCACTCTTGGTTTGGGCATCCTGGGGACACATAACCTTGGCTGTCTGTGCCTCTGTTCTGTGTGTGGCGCATGGGAATCTTATTTCCTTTCCTCACTAGCTGTTTGTTTGAGACAGCAAGGGTCTCAAAAGCTTTGTTGGGTTGTGTATCTAACTGTCATGTACATGACCACTTCCAACTCATTTAGAACAACTGTGACTGTTTATTTGATGAGAAAATTTTATGTACTTGTTGACCTTTTCTTTTCTAATGTAAATGGGTTTTTTTATTATCTTTTTTTTCAGAGAAAACCAAGAAAAGATGATTTATTTTCTTCTGCTTGACCGGAAGGAGAGGTATCCTAGTCATGAAGATGAGGATCTTCCCCCTAGAAATGAAATAGGTACTGCAGATATGACCTCAGTCACCATGAACCCATCTGAACTAGTGCCTCTTCACTTTTTTTTTTTAATTCTGATTTTATTTTAATTTAAACCCAAACTCTAGCATTGCTGTTACCTTCCCAGTGAAATGGTGTACACAGCACTGGTGAGAATCCTCAGACTGGGGCAGGCAGGTCTGTTCTGTGGTTAAACTAGAAGGCTTCATCTTTCAAGACATGCCTGTCTCACAGTGTAGAAACATCCAAGTAGGTCTTGAATGGGATCTTAAAAAATGAGCTGTGAACCCACAGGCTGACTCTATGCAGGCAGATGAGGTTTGGCAGTATAATCTAGTGGCAGAATTTTCTAATTACAAGTCTCCTTGTTGCAGATAGGCTGCTCATGGACTTCAGTTAGTAAGAAGCTGTGTAGCTGCACTCCTCTGCAGTTATATATGTGCATATTCTCTTCTCTGTAACTCTATACATGCACTGCTGAAAGTATGAATCATGTAACTTAGCTGTTTTATAGTACATAAATCAAACTCCCATGTTTTTAGACTTAGAAAGATTTTAAAAGCTTAATGCACAATAAGATTATGTATCTTACAAAGCTCTTGTGATACCACTTTATTCCTGTTTATTCATTGGTTTTTTAGGGTGCTGCTGATCACCACTAATCCAGACAACAGGAAAAGTGCTCCCCAAGGAGCTAACTATATAAGTGACTCTTGATGTGCAGATAAGTTTAATAAAGGATTAGTCACTTCTAGCAATGATCTGAAACAGAGTTTTGCATAGAAGTGTGGAGATTTTCAGGTATTGTACTTCAGCACTTTGAAGACTAGAAGCAAAGTGCCCTTTATTTTCACTGGAAAGCCTGGAATCTCACAAGCTTACAAGGCAGTGCTGTACTGCACTGCATTTGTTAATGCTTCATTGAACTATTAACCTATCCAAGTTCCAATCTCCAGGCCCTATAATTTTGCAGGGAAATCTCTTCAGCGGGAGAAGAGATGAAAGTTCTTAGTTAACATAGCAATTTTTAAATTCCTACCTGGATGGAGCTACAGAGAGCATGTTAGCAGGGATCCTGATGAAGATGGGTAGCTGTGCCAGCTGCAGGTCCTGTGGTCAAAAGCCCCTTGCTCGGTGCAGTTTGTCATCTAGCACTCTGCTAATCAGCTTTTGACTCACACAGATTATCCTGCCATGTAAGGACAGCGTCAACTTGTTTTAGAAATGCTTTTGTCATAAGAAAAGAAACAAGGTGACTCTAGAATCTTCAAACCCAGTATGTAAGTGAATATACTATGCCCTAAATGCATCTCATACCTCTTCCACATGCCAAAGTATTTTCATGGTTTGAACTGGAATATTATGGTCCACTCTTGTATTTTTTGTGCAGGGGGTGAAAATGTTTCCTAACAGGGAAACACTGACTCTATCTATGTGCCTCACCTGCACGTTTGAGCATTATTCTTTGAGTGTTTGTATTTCCTCTTCCACAGGGGGTTTTCACGTCCTCTGTTCCCAGCGGTATCTCTGAGAACGCGGGGCAAGGTTTAATTAGGAGCAGTCATGTGTCTGATGAATATCTCATCATTAGCCATTAGCAATGGCCTTGCACAAACAAAGAAAAGAACAAGTAACAGTTTAATAATAGCAGCTTGAAGAAACCATGTTAATGAGAGTTGTACATTGTGTGAGCTCTTGCCAAAAAAAAAAAGCATCTGAGAGTATTTTGCCTTTTCCTCTTTTTTGGCATATTAAGTCTGAGAAACGATGGATGCAGGTAAAAATATGGCCAGCTACAGGTTGCCCTTTCTTCCCTTTGTCTGTTTCAGCTGTATGAAGTTTCTTCCAAGAGCCAAGGAAGGGCCACTTCCAACATTTTTCACATGTAGCTCCACTTTCTTTAGAAAACATGGGAATGAGAAACTTCTCAGTACAAGAAATGAATGTCAACTAATGTCTCCTTGAGAAAAAGGATTTTGTGGAGTGAAGTTTCTTAGTAAACTAGAGAACAAAAGATTGGGCCATAATAGATATAGAAGATAGAGATGCCTCACCAAACTCAGAAGGTGAACCTTTATTTCCCACCTTCTGTGAGAAGGCAGATTTACAATTGGATCGTTACCTGTATGATTCTATCTTCATATGTAAAAATCCTTAGGAATGGCTATGCTTTTCTGATATGAAATAAAAGGAAAATGCATCCTTATACTGTCACTGGACTATGACTTGATTTTTTTTCACCATGTCCAGAGAGTTAAAGAAGAGAAGGGCAAATACTGGAGATTTTCCTATTTTTAATTCCTGGGCTTGTGCAAAATCTTCTACAGCTTTTGTATGACACCACTTTAGTCATGCTGGCAGGAAGGATGTGTATATAACTAATTCTTTAGTATCTTTAGACTTGACAGTGATGGTGCCCTGTCATTTCTTAATCAGACCTTTCTAAGAAGTATGTACAATACTTGCTACTCTCAGCCATGTATACTGTAGGATTGTAGCCAATTTTAAATAGGCATCAAATACCTTTATTAGAAGCTCAACCACATTAATGCAAGCTTTGGATGTATTTTCCATCCAACTTTTTTGAATTGCTGTTCCTGGATTTATAGGTGCATTTCACCACCTGCTCTTTTTGCTTATTGTCTGTCTTTGATAACTTAAAATATAGATTAGAAATCAATTTCTTCCAGCATCTTAAGCCATAAGAGCTGATACAAAAGAATCATTTAGCTTGTTAGCAATATCCTTCTTCTCCTCAATTTTCTGTTGATTCCCTGATGGCCCCTCTGGCTAATGTCCTTCTCTCAGGTTTGCTCTTTCTCATGGCTGTACAAAAGACTGTCATTCAAGTTTTTAGCTAATTCCTCTTCAAATTTCTTCTTTGCTGTCTTTTAAAGTCCAGCTCTTAAGAAAATGGCGTGTCACTTTTGTAAATGTCACTTGGCTGAGTTTCCATTTCTGTTTTGAACATTCATGGATCAAATTGACTTTTAAAATATCTGTTCATAAAATATTTTTCTTGTGTTTTTCTCTTTATTGTTTAACTTCTCTTGTTTGAGCTTATTCATCACCATTCTTTTGACATTTGATGCTTTCTTCATTCATCTTTCTTCTCCTTTTCTTTTAAACTGCACTGTTTTACTTTCCTTTTTTTATGTCTGATATCCTGCTACAAAACTTGTATCCATTTTGTGTTATATATACACTCTGAACATCGTTGTTATGTCTTACTATGCTGTAGATACACTCCTAAACCACCAGTTGCTCTGTAGCATGAATGCTTTCTCATATTTTGAACTTGCTTGAAGAAGCAGGAGTTTGAAATATCTAAACCTTGTCCCAGCTTACTTTTGAGCACTTACACGTATGCAGCTGAAGTCACACAGTATGAATGCTTTGTTTGTTTTATCTCCCACTGTTTTTCTGTCAGCTTTATGCACTCTTTTTTTTTTTTTTTTCTTATCTGGAGGTGATTGCCTATACCATTTTCTACTATCTTTTTATTGCTGGATAGAGTTTGAAACGGAGTGAGATACAACTGCACTTTTTATCTAATTAATTTTTAAGCGGAATATTATTACTGCTAACACAAAGAATACTTGGGTTATACTGTAATGGGGTCAGTTGTTATCACTAATCCATTTGCATTGAGCCATCTTAGCTTATGCTCATTGTTTCAAGGATAAGCTCTGCCTCAAAGAGTTCTTGTTCTAAAAAACATGATGTTAGAGAAAGAACGAGTACATGGTGGGTGTGAGGAGGGCAGGATAATAAAGAGCAGGCAGTAGAGGTAGAATTGTCAAGTGTGGTATTTATGGTTTTGCACAGGGATCCTGGCAGAAGAAGAAGCCTTAAGAACTGGGCACTGTGAGCTTCTTTCTAACAGCAGGGGTGAAGGATGCCTTCTTTTACAAGTGGCTACTCTCCACTAAAATTAAAAATGTGTCTATAAATAGAGGCAGGGAACTGAAATAGCCTAACCAAAGGAAAGAAAATCCTTCTGTATTTTTTTTCTGCCTTTCTCCTTTATACTGTTTGCATGCCATGTGCAGTGTTAGCTATAAAACATCTCAGCAGGTCTTTATTTGGTTCCCTGCCTCACCAAGAAGGTGTGGATGATTTGGCAAGTCACCTTCTGCAATGCATTTTGGTATCTAAAGACTCTTCTCAGAACAATTTAAAGGCTCCTCAGAACCAACATCTTTAGGAATGAATTGCCTTTAAATATCTCTTACATATCTTTATGTATTTTTATATGTCTTTAAATATTTCTTATACCTCAGTTTTCACTCTGCAAAGCTAAAGTAGCACTTTGATACCTCATGGAATTGTTACACAATAAAGTGTGTATAGCATTTAATTTACTATGGTAGTAAAAGCTGTATGGTGTGGTTCTCATTGAAAGATTTGTCTCAGGTAGACAGGCATGTTTAATTTGTAATGCTTCTGAAGGAGGAAAAATATAAATCAGCAGGAAAAACCTGAAATGTAATCTTAAAGATGCAGAAAAAGGGTATTCTTTCAGAGCAGCATGTAATTCTGAATTTAGAGTGTACTGCTGTCCCTGTGTCACATTTAATCTGGCTGGCAGGGATGTGGAAGGCAAGCTCTAGTAACCTGGGTACATACACAGGATCCCTAGATGGCTCATGCTCTGCCTAACAGCTTGTGCTATAGCCCATGCTGTCACCTTGTATCATCCTGTTATTACTGTTATCAGCTTTGTAAGCTAATTTCTGCAAGCTGTGGTATAGTTGTACCTCTATTTTGCAGTGCTCATAATACCTTCAGGGCAGTGGCAGGGCTCCTTCTCTCTGCAGGTGGATTGCAAGTTATGTCTTAATGCTTGCAAATTTGGAACAAGGGAGAGACTACAAATGTCCACCTCCATCATGAAGAGATCTGTCTTTGTAGGGGAGGTGGAGAGTGAAATTCTTGAGAGAGGATTTAACCCACCTGCATGAGGTAAGTCCCAGCTGAATTGAGCTGACAGTGTTTTCCTTCCTGTCAGATCCCCCCAGGAAGCGTGTGGACTCCCCAATGCTGAACAGGCACGGGAAGCGGCGGCCGGAGAGGAAGTCCATGGAGGTTCTCAGCGTGACAGATGGAGGATCCCCAGTTCCTGCTCGCAGAGCTATTGAAATGGCACAGCATGGACAGAGGTGGGTCTGTGCTTCACCCAGGAGCCCTGCCTGCCTGGGTCTGCTCCTGCACTTTGAGTTGCACATACAGAGGAGCTGTGGGGCTTTTCTGTTCATACCAGCACTCATTGCACCCTCCAGTCAAATCTGCAACATGATCTGGCAGCCAGCAGTGCTTGTGCACACGGGACCAGAAGTCCTGCCAGGGCCTTAAGGGTTCTGTTTGCTTGCAGCTATTCCTCAGGAAGCCACCATGTTCTCTGAAATGGGCAAGACCCATTTCACCTCTTTTTAGTTGTTGAGGACATGGGCATGCAGTCTAAGCTTGCAATACAGGCTGACTGGGCAATGGGAACATGTAAGGGCTTTGGGAGGTCTCAAACATGTGTCCTGTCAAACAGGATAAATTACCTTCTGCTTGTTCTTCTCTGTCTCCAGAGCCTACAACAGTAATCTAGGTGACTATCTGGGATTAGGTTCCTAGCTTTTGGGTGCCTGAAGTTAAAAGAACACTATGCTCCATGTCATCAAAACAACTTGAATCTGAAAAGCTCTGTCCAGGCATCTTGTAGATGCCTCCAAAATGTGCTGTCAGAGCCAGAATGCATCTGAAATGGCACATAAATCACCACATGCTTGTAAAGTGATGGGATATGTATAATTTTCCTCTTTTCCATCAAAGAAAGTGTCAGTCTTGTGGAGAAACAGCAGAGGAAAATGGTGTCTCCTCAAGGCAAGTTCTGGGAGAGTAAGTGAACTGTGGAAATTCACTTATGTGAACCATGGAAGTTGCTTCCTCAGTCCCTATGACTAGCTTAAGGGAAGCACATGCATTTGGTTTCACACTTGCATTAATCAATCAATATAAAAGAACCCTTTCCATATATGAATGATGATGATAATGATGCTGCTGTACCTTCTGTTTCAGTTTTGACATAATTTTTTATTTGTTCAGCTCTTAAGATCTGTTTAAAAAAAAAAAAAAAAGCCTGCTGTGCCCAGAAGATCCCTTTGCTGACTGAGAATTGGGAGAAGAACATGAAATAATTTCATAGATATTCCAGAGGCCCCTAGAATTGCTGGAAACTTTTCCTGGCAATTGTTACAGTTCTATCTGTAGTGAAGAAAGAGTGGTGATTTTCAGAATCTGCTAGGACTTATTTCAGACTGGATATGTCGCCTTGAGACTGCCATAAAGACTTCTTGACATATTGTAGGTTGGAAACCTGTCTCAAATATCTGATTTGGTGTGAGGTGTGGGTGAAGGAAGTGTTCAGGACAGGGTGTGCTCAGTGTTCCTAACAGGCCTCAAAGGAGTAAGGATGAGCACAGCAGTGACTCCTTGTTCTACCTGCAGTGTTTACTCTGCTGCTGGGAGATGCATGGGACATGAAGCTTCCAGACCAGGCAGAGGCAAATCACTTCTCCCCACCACAAAGCTCCTTCACAGGGAGTGTCCAACTGAGTGGAACAATGAGGAGGTGTTAAATTGACCACAGCATTCTCTGAGAGCTGAAACCTTTTCTTCCAGCTCTGAACTTTGAATTTGGGTTCAGAAGTCTGCAGAGGCAAAGCTGTGTCTTGCTATCCAAAGTATTTATTTTGCCTTTAAATGTCTCACTCGATTATGCACATTAGGAAACAGTTGAAGTCAAAAGGTCTGGGGTGAGATATATCCAGACTGCATATCAGTAAAGGAGGGCTGTGGCTTAAGGAGGAAGCAAAACCTGCAGGCACAAAAGAGATATGGGGCAATGCACACGACAGGTCAGGAATGGACATAAAAGTGTGATTAAGGGTGGAGAAAGGGATGTAATAACACCATGATTGATGATGATGAGCATGGTAGTGCTTGTTTTCGAAGGGGTTAAAGGGAAGATGTTATTTTACTCCACGTGTGAGCTTCCATAATTCATCCCATGCACATGCAGAGATGACAGCGGCACATTTCGTGTTGCTGGCAGCACAGTCGTTTATAACACGAACTGGCTTCATTAACGAACCCCACTGCATGGGGAGTGTCTGGGGACGATGCATTGCTGATGGGGCACCATCTGTCAGAACCCTCAGTAACAAAGTGACAAGTGCCTTCCACCAAGAGTGGGGATTTTTAATGGCTAGTTGCGTATTATATTCCATGAAATGACCCACTGACAGTGGATTTTGCAGCAGTGGGGTTTAGATCTCCAAGGCGTATGCTTTTTTAAGAATCACCTTTTTTTTGATCTCAAGAGACAGCTATTCAGTGCTTTTTATCCTACAATACTACGAAGATTGACCATGGAATCAGGTCTCCTTTTTAGACACAGATGACTTGTATAAGCATCTGAAGACACAGTGCCATTGCTTCTTCCTTGAGCTGGCAAAGATACACTTCTAACCAGTGGGCAAAACACACCCAAGTGTCTTGTGATTTATTCCTACTGTCCTCTTTCCCAGTAGTAAACAGATGTTTGCTTGCATAAAGAGAATTTATGTTACAACCTCGGGTTTACATGTCTGTATCATGATCTGTGCTTTTGGTAACCATGTGGGGGCCCTACAAGTGTCTGGTCTTGGCTTGTTTAGGGCATATCTTTCCACTGAAATTTAAAACTTGGCAGCCTCCAGCCTCCAGGCTGCAACAGTATTAAGTGAAAAACATAAATCCTTCAGTGATTTGGTTTGGAATAATGGACGAGGAAAACTCACACAAAAGCTGCTTGTGGAGCTTACAGGCTCCTTCAAATGCTTGAGCCAACCTCTCCAGGTGTTCTCCAATGGATCTTTGTGAATGGCAAAGTTGGTTTGCACAAACTCTAGCCCTTCTAAAACTGGTGACTAAGTTTTGTTAATTCTTGGGCTTCCCTGCTACTTGTCACTAAACTGGGTTCATAATTATGTCTTAATTACTTCTGCTGTTCTGGTATCCCCACCTCTCAGACTATCTGGTATTTCATTGAAATGTCAAAAGAAAAGAAGTAGGTTCTGAGCTTAGCTTAACATTAGCTAATTTGTCCCATGTGCTAAAATCACACAGACTAGGAAGAATTCCATGGGAGCTAGAATCCAGCAGGGATATGGCAGAAATGTTCAGCAGCTTTGCTGTGAGAGTCCAAAAACCATTCTAAAATGGGCTTCATTAACTATTCATTTTCTTCTAGTTTTTGAAGTGGAGAGCTTGCATGAGAGATCAGCTAACATTAGGGAGCAGTGTTCTGAGAAACAGTGAAGCATATCACCAGTGAAATATATTTCAGGGAGCTGCCCTTTTAGCAAAGCACAGGGAATTTCACTTCTAAGCTGCAGGGATTGAGACCTAAGATGAGAAAGAAGGGCATTTCTCTATACACTGAGTATAGGGAGGAGGGTTGGGAGTTAAATGGTAATGGACCCTACAAATTAGAATACAACATGGATTACTGTTCCTCTAAGAGGCTCTATGGTCTGATTTTAACCTTTTCTGAGAGCATGCTTAGTGTTGAGGTCTTCTGGAAAAGTCGTGAGTAATGAATGCTTTGCAATTAGTGCTTCAGGTGTGTCCTGTTTTCCCTGGACACTGTGACAAAGTAGGTGGTACCTGGGTTTTAAATTGAATAAAGGAGAGCAGGGTTTACAAATATGCATGGGGGGAGTCATCTTAGACCTCAGAAGTCAGGGGAAGATAATGAATTTGAGCACTGTGTAGGTGTGAGCCATGACTGTAAAGTAAAAGAAAGGTTTTTCAGAGCATTGCTTAAAAAGGGGAGGATGGGTTGGGGACTGGGTGTCCAGCATTGCTACAGGTTACTCTCTTTTATAAAAATGTCCACACTAGTAACTGTGTTTTCTTGCTTTGTTCCTGCCATAGTAAAACAATGTTCAGTAAAAGCCTGGATATCTCTGAAGCCAATCCCAAATTCAACAAAGAAGAAAGGTATAAACACTGACAATATGTTCCTCTCCTCTACCTCACTGCTGAGACCTTAAAGATGCAGTACTTACCTTCTCTGTGTGGGGACAGAGCTGTTCTCTCTTTCCTCTTTAGAGGGAAGCAAAGAGGGTGGGATATTTACAGCTCCACACTGTGTATCTTTTTGTACAGTACCATTCATTTGAGGCTATCCCCAATGCAGCCTTGGACTGTACCAATGATTTCCCCACTAAAATTTCATCCTACTGCTATTTCTGGTTCAGTTCTGCCATGAGTAGAAGTTCTGCCCAGGGTAGAAGATGTATTTGCTTAAGATGTCTTTGGGAAGGATTGGAATGTAAAACACTGGGAAAGCCCAGAATGTTCCACTCTGAGCATTAGAAACAGCAGCACAACTGAGTGAGTGACAACAGTGGTAGGAAACTTTGGAAATTCAGTCTGATAGACAAAATATTAAAGACTTCTGGCAAGAGACAAACTCTTTAAGACTACCCAGAGGACATAGGAGGAAAACGTAATTGAAAACAGGGTTTTTGGAGGATGATTCTAATCTAGCAGTTCAGTGACAGATGCTGAAGAACAACAGAAAGGGTAACTCCCAACTGTCAGCAGAGGCATAATGGAAGACAGGTAGGCCACCACATTTACAGACTTTAAGTAGACTTGTGTGGGTCCATGAACACAAAAAAAAAGTTCATACTTTTGTGAAGATTTTTAGTGTACATGTTTTTTCTAAAATTTTGGTCTCAAAGGAAGAGAATTTTTCTCTGTGTTGAAAACTGGCATCTCAAAGGATAACTCTTCATCAAAACGTAATCCTTACAAATTTTGGACTAAGCTTACCCAAAGGTTACAAGTGTGGCATATGATTCAAAAAGGGAGAAGCAATGGCTTCCTTAAAGGAACCAATGGACTTCACAAAGCATTCTTATTTCCATTTCCCCTTTTCATAGAAATATTTCTGTATAGAGATAAAGGTGGCCTTTAAGCCCCAGGAGATTTGCAGGATGTGTGAGGGACTGTTTTGGCCTTTTGCAGTCTGAGACAGTCTTCTGTGGTCAGTGTTTCAAGTCCTCAACCTGCCACAGTGAGGAACATCGTGCATCTGCAGGAGAGACTGTGCCTCATG